TTAGCTTGTAGCTTAGCTTCTCAGCTTAGCTGCTTTTAACGATCCAAAAATTAGATTTTGGACGGTTAAAACGGATTTTAAAGACGTGAAAAAAAAAGAGAGAAAGGGAGGGGTCAGTGAAGAGCACTGGAGTTGAACCTTTTGTCATCCAGTGTCTTCAGTAGAAAGAGAGAGACACGAAGAAACGATAAAGCCGATAAATCAAAACGAGGTCGATCGTTTTCATTTATCATGCGATTAATTGATTTATTGTTTATCGCGACAGGCGTAGTCACACAAAAATGGCTACAACTCAGCCACTTCTATAGCTTAAATTTGGTGTGGTTGTAGCTTAATGCAAAAATGGCTCTACCTAAAACTTGGGAGTGGTCGCTGAGAGTCATATGCAATATATACTTCAAGAGCTTGCTATACCTCCACATAAGATGATGTTAGTGTAAAACTTTGGCATGTAAGGCAACATGCATTTGTTCAGGGAATTTTAGGCCTTTTATTTTTAATGTTTTCCAGTTACCTTTCCCAAATTTTTACCTGCTAAGAGTCTAAAACAATCAAAAATAAAGAGGAGCACTTATTTTAGTAACAGGCCTGCAGCCTTTCCAGAGGACTTTTAAACTTTTCCTTTGGCTGAATTTATTTATTATTGTTTATTTTCAGTATTTTCACTAAGCATGTTGTGGGGTGTGTCCTTAAAACACGTGTAGGCTGAAAACGTGGATAACAAAGTTAATATTTTTGCAGAAAACGGTAAAATCCTGCAAGAAAAACGTCTATAAATGATATAAGAACCATAATAACGAAGCGAAACAAAAACATAACCCGGATGTTCTCGTATAGTATTTTATATCTGATCATTTCAATTCAAATTCAGCATTGGTCAAATAAGTCATAAAGTTAGCTCGATCGGTAAAAATTACGAACAGTGTGTCTTTTTTAATTAACGAGATTTTTTAAAAATGTATTCGACCTACAAACCATGTTGTTGTCAAATCCGGTTTGACCAAAAACAAAAGAAAAACAGCGAATTAAGAACGTCGATTCAGCCACATGTTGAGAGATTATGCATTTGTATCAATTTACAGCAAGTTAATGTGCTTAATTTGTTTCCCATTTGTGTGTTTATTCTCCACTCACTGTATTTTATTGCTGTTGATCAGTCCTTTAAAGCTGCAGGGTGACTGTTGTGTATCCACTTCCGGTATGTTCTTCTTCGTTGAATAAATTAAGGTTGACGCTCTGCTGCCCCCTGGTGGATAAAAGTGAACTCACTCTAAATAGATTGTGGTTCATCATCTGTTGTTCGTGAAATATTTTGCTAACAGACAACACGGTTGAAATAAATTATTTGCTAAGTTTTTTGTAAAATACGCCGCACAAAGTAAAGCTCTTTGAGTTTATGTGGAATGACACTCAGCTACTACCACACCAAGGTTTAGCTCATATGGCCGTTTTTAAGCTGTGGTGGCCAATATTTTCTACATTAAAACGAATTGAGATCTCTTCAACTCTAAAAAATATTGTTTTCTTAAAATTTGCCTTTTTTTATTACATTTTTTCTTCTTATGCTGCATTTAGTTTTTTTAGTTATGCTACGTTTAGATACCATTCTGCTTCTTTTGACTTTTAGCTAGACTTTAGCTACTTTTAGCTAGACTTTTTGCTACTTCCTTCAATTGAAATAATTTTGGAACCTGGTAAGGACCCAATTTTATTTTATTTAGCAAAAGCCCCAGAATTGATAGAGGAAGGGCTTTCTTCGTCCCAAGACTCTGTTTCACTGAACAGTTCAGTTCTGCTGCATTACAAACAGGACTGGGTTTGTTCTGACATCCACAAATGCCGGTTAAAGCTCTAACATGCAAATAAATAAGCTATTTGCGAACACCATCCAGAAACGCTGCTGTCTTCTCTGATCCAAAAGTGGTTTCAGATGAACGAGGCAAAAAGGAAAACCGTTCTGTGGGCAGACGAGTGGAAAGTCAAATTTATGTTTTTAGAAATCGCAGAAGCCACATTCTCTGTACTAAAGAGGAGAGGGACCATCCAGCCTGTTTTCAACGCACAGTTTAAAGACCTGCTTCTCTGATGGTATTGGGGTACATTAGTTTACAATGATCAGCTTACACATTTCTTCTAGGTTCTAGGACAATATCTGTTCAAATCCAAGCTACTTTTTTTAGGGAAAGCCTTGCATATTTCAGCAAGACGATGCTAAACCACAGACTGTATCCATAGCAACAGCTTCAATGTAGACGAGTCCCTGAACTGGTCTGCATGAAGTCCCTCTCACCAATTCAAAAGACTTGGCACATCATGAAACTAAACCTCCAACAGCTGGTCTCCTCAGATGTTTACATAGTTTTGCTAAAAGAAGAGGCGATGCTTCACAGTAGTAACATTTTAAATTATTGTTGTTTTTCTTAATACAGTACAGTTTAGTGTCAACACACGATGTGTTTACTTTGTTCCATTGTGAATAAATCATGAGATATACAAATAGCTGTTTGTATTTTCTTTGTACACTGCTTTTCAAGGCTGGGATTGACCTAAATTTTCGTTTCATTAAGTATTTTTTTTTTATTGCCATGGCATCCATGTGAAGACGCATCGATAACGAAACATTTTCTCCGTATTTAATGGTTTAATAAATAGTGATTCATACATTAAAGTCATGCTCCTTTTGTCAAACCTTTTGTTTCCTTCTCTGACACACCTTAGATCATACACAGGCCCAAAATTGAATCTAGCTTTCCATTCATTAATAAATGAGTCGTGGCAGCCAAAATAGACACAATTACGAAACAAAAACACAAAGAGGCACGTAGGAGACCCAGACCTGGCATGGAAGTACAACGATGGCGAACAGATGAGTGAGATGAAGCTGAGGGACTATAAAGACGGGGGCAGATGGGAACAGCTGCGCTTAATGAAACAGGGAACAGGTGTGAGTGGGCGTGGCAAGACTGAGAAACGTAAGGCTGGAGACACAGGTAGGCCACAGAAACAAACTGAACACAAGGAAAATACTGAAAAATCACCACAAGACTGCAAAAAAAACACAATACTGACTACTGTTAGTTTAGTGTCACAAGAAGGGTCAACAAAAGACAAAAAAAATATTTAAATCTAATTTATTTAAATTAGCATCTACTGTAAATCAAAACCAATAGTCAAGTTGGAACCAACATTTAGTGTAGAAGGTGAATATAAAGGTTGGACTGGTGATACACAGACTACCTGCACAGGAAGGGTCAGAGCAGGCTCTACTTCCTGAGGAGGCTTGGGTCCTTCAGTATCTGCAGAAAACTACTGATGTTCTACCAGACTGTGTAGCCAGTGTCTTCTGTGCTGTTGTGTGGTGGGGAGGCAGCATGAAGAGGAGAGACGCAGGGCGACTTGACAGGCTGGTGAGGAAAGCTGCTTCTGCGTTGGGAACAGAGCTGGAGTCCCTCACATCGGTGGCAGAGAAGCGGAAGGGAAGTCCGAGATTGTCCTCATTGTATGTTCCCGCACAATGCTGAAATAAGTTCTCTGCATTTGACCCATCACAACTGAGACGCACCCAGGTGGAGCAGTGGGCAGCTATGTAAGCGCCCGGGGAGCAGTTTGGGATTAGGTGACAGAGACACGACATGTGGGAATGACTGGGCGTCGAACCAGGACTTTCTGATCCCAAGTCGTCTGCCCTACCTCTACTCCATCTCGGCTCCGAAAAGGGCCCTCGGTAAGCTGCTATCCATCATGGACGATGCTGATCATCCTCTGCATGGCTCCATCATGAAGCAGAGGAGCGCCTTCATTGCTGCCGTCCCAGCCCTGCTCCACGGACAGATTCAGGACGTCCTTTGTCCCTCCAGCCATCAGACTGTTCAACTCCTCCCACCACTGTAAATAGAGCCCTGCAACTCTGTGGTACCCTGGACACTTATTTATGTGTATATTTACATTCATTCAACCTTTTTTTATACAGGTTAATCCCATTGAGCCTCGGGGACTCATTTGCAAGAGAGACCTGACATGCACACATGTACATGTATATGCTTACATGTGTATGTATGTGTATACATACATATATATATATATATATATATATATATATATATATCATGAATGTAGTACAGCCTTGTTCATATTGTATTTTTCCAACTTTGTGTATTCTGCTTCTTTTTGGATTTTTCATGTGTTTTTTCCTGTATAATTAGAACATGCTACTGGATGACTCAGATTTCCCCCCTGGGATTAATAAAGTATCCATCCATCCATCCATCCATCCATCCATCCATCTATCCATCCATACATCCATCCATACATCCATACATCCATACATCCATACATCCATCCATTGCTGTTTCCGTTCAGACATTTTATTATCTGTAAAGTCTGTTATTT